TGGACTTAAGGGCAGAACAACACAGCCATACAGTTAATGATGCTGCCAAATGGCTAGGTATGTCAAGTGGGGAAGTCTGATTTTATCCTTAGACAATGGGGGTAGGGGACAGAGAAAACAGAGCAGCAACGTACAATGATCCGATTATACTTTCCAAGATAACTTTGGTGGCAGTGGAGAGAGCAAACAGATGTAATGATAGCATAAAGCTGGAAAACCAGTCCTGGACAGGACTGTGAAATTCCAGTGAAAAGTGGAGCCTCCAGGGAGTGATGGCAGGAGTGGATGGGTGAGGAGGGGCTGATGTTGACCGGATTGTACGCAAGGGAGGAGAGGGACAACCCAGGAGCCTAGCCAGGTTGCTGGGTAGAGAGAGAGAGGGTCAAATTACCCTAAGGACTGGGAACATGGCGATTATGGAGTCACGAGAAAATGGGACATAGGCACTTCTGAAGGACTAAGCTTTTGTAGATATTGAAGATTATCTGTTCAGAAGAAAGAATTTTAGCCTCGAAGAGAAAAGTATTTCTAACCAGAGATTAAAATGTGCCTGTGCTTCGGTGACCTGTGTTTGAATCAACTCAGATTCCTGAAGAAGATGATCTCTTTCCCCAACAAGGCCAGCTGCTTAGCCGGTCCTTGGTGTCTTGGGGAAGTGTGCAAGGACCATGAGGTTCACAGAGACACCACACGGCTCTATGCCGCCTGTGTACACAGTGGTTATGGGCACAACTAATTATTACAAACAGCTACCATTTTTTTGGCCTCATTTTGTGCCAAGAGTTCTTGTTTACAATGATAGCAGTGCAGGTTCCTTATTTACACTCCATAAACTAGAGGAATGAGGAGGTTACGTAACTTGCTGAAGGCCACATAGATAGGAAGCAGATGTTCTAAAGAAGACACCAATGGCGTTGAGCCCACGCTACTGCTCTCTTCTTTCTTTTTTTCTTTTTACATTTTGAGATTGGGCTTCACTCCGGGTCCTGGGTTGGACTTGAACTTGTGATGTCAACTGTTACTAGAGTTACACCATCATGCCTGGCCCATTGGGCCCATTCTCTAAGAGCACATACCTGGTGGCTACTGGAGGACACATGAAAATATAGATTGGGCTCAATGATATATGCTGATACTTGTGTGGTTGGGTCTAATTCTTTTAAAACAAATTGGTTAGTCTCTATTTCTGATCCTAAGAATACACATTCTGATACAGCTTGGGAAAAGCTGTTTGAGTATGATTCTTTACCTGAGAAGCTTCAGAATAGATGGTTAAGACATTCTTTGCTATGGCTGGAGAGATGGCTGGCTCAGTGGTTAAGAGCACTGACTGCTCCTGCAGAGGACCCAGGTTTGGGTCCCAGCACCCATATGGCAGTTACAATCATCCAAAACTCCAGTTCCAGGGGGTCTGACACCCTCTTCTGACCTCTAGAGGCATTGCATGCATGTGGTGCTCTAATACATGCAGGCAAAACACTTGTGCACATAAAATAAGAATAAATAAATCAGGGGCTGGAGAGATGGCTCAGCGGTTAAGAACACTAGTTGCTTTTGCAGAAGACCCGGGTTCAAATCCCAGCACACACATGGCAGCTAACAATTGTCTGTAACTCCAGTCCCAGGGGATCTGACAGCCTCTTCTGACCTCCACGGGCATTGCACGACATGGGTGCACTTACCTATATGCAGGCAATACACACATAAACATAAAATAAAAATAATAAAGAAAGAATAAATAAATCAGAAAACATTTAATTAAAAACTACCTTCTCTATTGAAAATGATGCTGTTTGACTTGAGGGGGTTATTCTCCAACTAGAGTTTGAGTTCCTACAGGGTAGAGTCTGGGCTTCATCATAACCACTTCTTCTGAATGGCCTAACATGGTGCCTAGAACATGCAGTCGTTCCATAACTATCTATGGAATGAGTCCATAGGTTGCTGTTTCTCAAGTGCTCCCCTTGGAGGATTTTGTCCCTGTGAGGTAAAGGACAGGCGGCAGAACTGCTGCGATAACAAAGCCACATAGATGAGAGCAGAGATGACTGTGGAAAGACCACAAGGGGACAACACCAGATCAGGAAGGATGGATGGAGTGCACCACAGCTGGTTTGTTTAGAGTGTCTTAAAGCCCAGTAGAGTTGATTCCAGTTGGCATGGATGGGAGGTCACACAGATTAAAAGGAGACCTGCTAGTAAGGAACAATAGGTTACATTCATTTAGCAAGGCAGAAAAAATAGTGGCAGGCTTTAGGGGTGAGCAGGAAGCTTAATCCTGTCAAAGAGCTCAATTACCCTTGAAGACTGAGTAAGCCTGCGGCCTCCATGGCCATTCCTCTCTGCAGCCAGAGCTTAAAAAGAGAGACTTGCAGAGCTGGGAGTAAAGAGAGTCACGTTTATATAGAAAACACTCCATATATATTTGTCTTTTTGAGACAGGGTCTCCCTATAGCCCCAGCTGTCCTGGAACTCACTAATATTTTTAATAGCATATGAAGAAGTTTAGAAATAGAAGAATTAGAAGGCTTAAATGGTTAAAGTCTTTCACAACCTTTCAAATAAACAGTATTTCCTTTTGAATTGTATGACTGGTTACCATTACTCACAAAGTACCCAAACACAGGGATTTCTCTTGACAGGTAACCCCACTTAGTTTTAAAGAAATATTTTTTTTCTTATATTTTAAAAATTGTGTTTTCTCATAAGCATAGCCCATTGTCCAGGAATCTAAATAAGAATCCATTCCGGAGTAATTTATAGTCATGTTAATGTTTTAACATGATGAGAAGCTATGTTCTACTTGAATTAACTCGGCATGGGTTATCAGGTATGTAAAATGGGGGACCTATGTGTCCGAGGCTGAGGAGCAATATATTTTATCAAGTCCTATGCTTCATAAAGATCCTATAAAAACACCAAGAATTGAGTCTCTTATCCCTTATTCTCTTTCTTTTCTTTAAAAAAAAATACTTATTTGCTTATTGGAGTGTGTGTGTGTGTGTGTGTGTGTGTGTATGTGTATGTGTGCGTGCGTGTGTGTGTCCACATATTTGTGCATGTCAGAGGACAATTTCTCTCCTTCCACCAAGTAGGTCCAGGAGATTGAACTCAGGTTGCGATGTTGGTAACTGCCTTTGCTAGCTGAGCTATATTGTGGCCCCTTTTGTTCTTTTCTTGATATAGGGTCTTTCTCTGTAATCACTGATCTGGAACTTATGTAGCTTAGGCTTGCCTTGAACTCACAATAATGTAGAGGATGAGGAGGGGAAGTAGTGGCTGCATTCTCTTTATGTTCTGCTTAATTAGCTCTGTGTTATAACAATATTTTCAAAATATCCAAGAAGCTTGTGAAAGTAAGTCACGTCTCCATCTCAAACTGAAGCCATTTCTGTGGAAGAGGAAAGTGGTAGCTCTTTGCTACTCTGACTCCTCAAACAAGGGCATCCCTTCTCTTCTTCCTCTCCCCACCAGGCAACAGTTCACAGCCCATGGTCTCCTTCGTGGATGAAAGAATTTGCTGTTTTGGAATAAGATGACAACTTTGCTCTGTTACATACTTTGTTTAAATCGGAGCTAATATGTGGGATTACAGAGAATGTCACAACCCCAGATAAAGTGGAAGTCTAAGTTGCTTTTTCTTTGAGATGTGTATGCAGACTTAACCATCTAGTTCTTCTTCTAACTAGACAGCCAAAGAAAAACTGTATGAAGACCCTGGACTTCACAACTCATTTTAAATTCATCTAATATGTGTAGTTAATCCATATGACCTAAGCTTTCTTTCCATGCAAAGTTTTTTTTTCCCTTTCATAGAAACTTGAAGCAACTTTAATAATTTCCTTCTATTCTGGAGGTCTTCAATATTATTAGATTAAAAGAATACTCTAAACATGAGAGAAAAATTCAGCTCACAGAATAAAAAGAACTATGAAAATCTTTGTGCGAAAGTTACCTAGCTGCAAAATAAGATCTCTGAAATAAAAGATGAAAATTATCCCTTATAAAAATCACATGTGAGGGTTTGCAAGATGATTTAGTGGGTAAAGGTACTACTTGTTTCCAAGCTTATGACGTCGATTAGATTCCTGAAACCCACATGCTAGAAGAAGAGAAATGACTCCCACAAATTGACCTCTGACTTCACACACGTGCCGTGGAATGTCCATTACCTCCCAAAATAAATTAATAAAATGTAATAAAATAAAAATGAATAAACACAAAACACTAAAAGGACTTGAGGTCATATTTTTTCTCAGTTGAATCTGGCACACCTCCTTCATTGCTCTTAAATACCACAAATGTCTGTGAACTAAGTGATAAGCTTCAAGTAGTGGGACATAGACTGGTTTTGCTTTTTTCGTTTTTTTATTTTTACTAGATTGAACACAGAAGACAATGTTGAGAAAGAACAAAAGATTTTTTAAAGTATTTAATTGCACCACTCTGAGTCTAATCTGTCATATTTCCATATCTCTCCTCAGTCCTCTCCCATTTTCCCACAATATTGTCAGTCACAAGCATTGCTCAGCATGTGGAAAACACTGCCATTTTCTACAACACAGCTGCACTACTTCCCAACTATTTTCGATCATACATTCTCATCTTTGAAAGTCAAGTACCACTATTTCTATGACTTTTAAATAAGCTAGTTAAGAGTTAGAAAGAAATCTTGATCTATATCAATAACTGATTTCCAAAGACTATTCCTCAACACATTGACCAACATCAAATTCTTTTCCTTAAGAGAAAAAAAAGTTGTTGCAGTTAGTTGAGAGGCTATAAGAAGTCTTATTTCAACAATAAGATGTGATACTAGAGAAAACATTTTTCTTACATATTGACAACAGTAGATTTATTTATTAGGAACTCAATAATAATATTTTCCACAGACACTGATGAGATTAATACATTTTGAATATTTAGTGGAATATCTACCTTACAGTGGAATTTCATTCTAAAATAGGCAGGAGAGAAAATGCGATCAAATGCCAACTCACCAGCATTTTCCTTCTCTGAAATACCTGGAACAGCCTGAAAAAGAAAAGAAAAGCACAAAATTGTGATCCTCCTAGAAAAAAGATTAAATAATATCATTAGGAATAAAGTATCAAGAATGTGGTAAAAACTAGACCCAAACAGCAGAAAAGTGAGCAGTGCAGGACGTTAGTAAAGGTAGCAGATCTGGCTATAATAACTGCACATCATCCTATAATTATTTTCTGGTTTGAAGATAAAAACAATCTAACATATCCATATTGCTTTCAAATGACATTGGGTACCATATTAGACTAAAAGCACTCTGAATTTGGGTGGAATTTTTGTAGTTCAAAAGCATCTGAGGTACTCAGAAAAGAGAAAGCCTCGCTTATTGACTCTGGGCATGGACTCTGTAGGTTAATTTAGTGATACGAAAGGTTTAAAGAAAATTCCATTCCCAGATTTTATCATATTTTAAACATAAGGTTCAGAATTCAATAGAACAAAATGTTTCAAAAGGCTTTCAAACGGGCTGGAGAGACGGCTCAGTGATTAAGAGCACTGGCTGCTCTTCAGAGGACCTGGGTTCTGTTCCTAGCATCCATATGACAGCTGACAGCCATCCTTAACTCTAGTTCCAGGGGATCTGGTGCCATCTTCTGACTTCTGTGGGCACTTTATGACATGGGTGTACTTATATGCAGACAATACACTCACACAAATAAAATAATAAATAAAATATTTTTTAAAAGGCTTACAAAGTGTAACTGTTTAGTGCTATTCTTTACACCCAGAACAAAAAATTAAGGAACTTGGGGGGCTGGAGAGACAATTTAGTGGTTAAGGGCACTCACTGCTTTTGCAGAGGACTTAGGTTAGATTCCCAGCACCCACATAGCTGCTAATAATCATCTGTAACTCCAGTTCCAGGGATCCGATACCCTATTCTAACCTCCAAGGGCATTGTATGACAAGGGTGCACTTACACATATGTAGGCAATACACCCATACACAGAAAATAGAATTAATAAATAAAATACTTCAAAAAAAGGAATTTGAATTTCTGGTTCTCACTTCAGTTATTCCTGTATAAAACAGTTATCACAGAAGTATTAACTTGTGGTGTGTGCATGTGTGTGCGTGTGTGTGAGTGAGAGAGAGAGAGAGGGAGAGAGAGATTCAAGAACACTTCTCTTGTAGATCAGTGTAAGGGAATCAATCAACATTTCCAGAAATATCAACCGTCAGAATGTCCATATCGTCAGGAAATAGGTGACCGCTGAGGTGACCACAGTTGGGTTTTAGGGGATCTGAAGAGTGATGCAATTATTCAAATAAGGTAAATATCTTTATGGATAAAACAGAAGGTGTTTGCTTAGGCAAGGTTGATCGATTCTGAAAGCATATGTTGACTGAGTATTGATCTATGTTTAGGCATTCACCACTTGCTTTCTGGATGCAAGCATGAGCTCTACATCCTGATAAAGTTGTAGCCATCAGGCAATTGAATGGCACTGTGGAGGATGAGACACAGGGCATCGAAGAGAGCACATAGGCTTCAGGCTTGATCCCAGTACCATTTCCTCGAGGGCCATGTCATCAGGTTGTTTCTTCTCCTTCAAGAATTTTTGTTTCAATACTCTGGGAAGGTTACTTCCTTCTTCCTCAAGAAAGTTATGCAGTTGTGATCATATTTGTTAGTTTTTATGGGACTCTTGACAAATCTACTTAAAATATGAGTTCAAAAAGACAAAAAAATATGAGTTTTATATGTGTGAAGTTTAGCTCTTGGATTTACATTTGATCAAGGATTTTAAATTAAAATATCTCTTTGTCAAAAGCAAACACATGGGGCTGGAAAGAGGACTCAGCAGTTAAGAGAACTGAGTACTCTTACAGAGGATCTGGATTCGAATCCCAGCACCCATGTGGTGGCTAACAATCATCTGCAACTCCAGTTCCAGGGGCTCCAATATCTTCTTCTGTCCTTTGAAGACACTGCATGACACAGGTGAACTTGTATGCATGCAGGTAATACATTCATACACATAAAATAAAATTAAATCAATTCATAAAATGTAAAAAAGTAAATACACAACCAAACAGAACCCTTTAAAGTTTTTATTTATCTATTCTTTAAGAATGTCATACATGTATACAATGTATTTTGATGATAGCCACTCCTTCACCCACTCCAACTTCTCATAGATCCCCTCATATTCCCCTCTCAACTTTACATCTCTTCTTTTTTTCATTATAACAGACCCAATCAGTTAGAGCTGCCTGCATTCACATGAGTGTAAGGCCATCCAATGCAGTGTGGTTGCTTGTAAGAGGCCACATCCTTGAAGAAAACTGACTCTAGCTCCCCCAGCAGCCATCTCTCAACTAGGAATGGGGCCTACTAAGCCTGCCCCCCCCATGCTGAAATGTTGACTGCCTTGATTTTATGCAGACAGCCACAGCTGCTGTGAGGTCATGGGTGCAATGGCCCTGTCATGTCCAGGAAGCACTACAATGCAGCAGTCTTCCCCAACCTCTGGCTCTTACCATATGCAGTGGCCCTTGTGCCTTGGGGAGAGCTGATGGAGATGTTTCATTTGGGACTGAGCATGCCACGGTCACCTATTCCCTGCCCTTTGACTACTTGGGAGTCTGTGCTAACTGCTGTTCACTGCAATAAGAAATTTCTCTGATGAAGGTTGAGAGCTGCACTAATCTATAGGTATAAAGATAAGCACTTGGATGATGGTTTGATGCTTTTTCAATTTAGCAAAATAACAGTAATAGCTTCTCCTCTCAGACATGTGACCTCCCTAGCCACAGGTTCTTGGGCAGGTTTACAGTACCAGGTATGAACTCCCTCCTTGTGGATCAGACCTTTTACTAATCAGGCAGTTTTTGGTCACCTCCATAACATTCATGCCACTATTGCACCAGTGGGGATCTCTTGTCAGGCTAGTCATTATTGTAGCTCACAGAGTTCACAGCTGGATAAAACTTCTGATCATTCCCATTTTCCCCACCCCAGCAGACTACACAGCACCTTCTGGTACTGTGAAAGCAATTAGAAAATGCTGACACTTATTTTCTAGTTAATTTAAAGGTAGTTGCTGATTCTTAATTACATGTCCTACACTATCTTGGGTGCAGAAATCCCTTAGCAGTTTTCTTTATTGTAGAATTCACAATCCAGTTGACAAAGATACATGAAAAATTGAGGTATAGCTCTATGCAGTGGATGCTGAAGGACAGTGTTCAGCTCCATCACTGGTGTGGTGTTAAAAAAAATGATTAGGTAGCAGATGATTAAGATTAGTAGATGCAAATGGATTGGTTTCCAGCACTGAACCTTGGGAAAGAGGCATTGCTTAGGAGATTCTTCTTATCCTTGACTTCTAAGATGGCATACCCATCTTAGAAATTTAGAATTCATCTACATTTAGAACCTGTGTCTTGAAGTCCCATAGTTTTGTCTCTATTTCTTGGCTTACAAAGTACCTTTTCCTACAAGCTGGCTATATATACTTTAGTGCCAAGTAGGTGTTCATCAAATGTTTGTAGTATTAACATACTGAGTATGATTGTTGCTTATGAGAAAGTTGCCATAAAAAGCATATTTTAGGGGCTTTGGCTAATAGCTGCCATATGTTTCATTTGAACTGCCTCTTCAGGAAGTGATTTAACATTTCTGGCAATAAAGCAATTAAATAGGATTTTTCTGCTGGCCATGTGGGTTTGCTGTAATTTCATATTTTCTTTTCTCAATGGAACAAAGGAAAGTCTACTAATAACTTCCAAATGAGAGGAAAAATCATTCACACTTTGTTATTCTCTTCTATGATATTCAAATGATAAAAATGACTTTTTCTATGGCTCCCATCTACCTTCCTCACATATACTAACCTTCTAATAGCTCTCCCAGGGAAAGATGTTCATCTAAGTTGGACAATTAAGGTGGTTTTACACTTGATTTTTTAAAAAGCTCATTGAAAAAAAGGCTCTTTAGTAAAAGAGGAGGGAATAATCTCCCTTAATGAGATCATTTAAAGCTGTGTGTGGGAGCTGAGACATCTGTTCCTGTTTGGGGATGTGAAATATGTTTAGGGAAATGCTGATTTTGACATGACTTGTGGAGAAATATACTGACATATCTTTTCTTTTAGTCTGCAGTGTGGGAGCCCCTTGACCTTACAGGAAGAACTCCACCTGACACCTTTTGGGCACTTACACACAGAAGCTTCTCTGGAAATAGTAGCATAAGCAATTGTTGTCTCATGAGAATCCATTTCAGCACAACGCCAATGGATTCAATTTCTTCTTAGTGATTTTGGATGAAAATGGCATGATTTTCCTTTATATTAGTTTTATTAATATGATCTTTCCTTCAGTTATATAAAACATCTTTTTATTTATTTGGAATCTGTATCATAGAATGTCACTACCAAGAAGGCTTTTTAATGATACATCTCTTCAAAGAATAGGAAGTTCGTCTAGAAGATATATTCTTAAGGTCTGTGAAGGGCCAGCTTCTTTCTTTCCTCAGTACACAAAGGGGCCCAGTGGTGTTTTTCTCTCTCTTTCTCTGTCCTTTCTCTCTCTCTGTCTCTGTCTCTCTCTGTCTCTCTCTCTCTCTCTCTCTCTCTCTCAGCAGTGCTTATTTGGAATGCTTTCAAATATTACAGATGTTCACATAGAAGCATCTGGAATATTCTGATTTATCATATAGGAATTTCCTTAAATTACCTTTTAAAAAGTAGTTTAATTCACAGAAGAATTAATGATGGTATAATATATTTATGCTCTTTTAAATCACCCACTTTGGTTCTCAAAAATATTGTATAGAGAAAAATTTTAGGTGCCCTAATTAGTCCTTAGAAATGACAAGAAAATATGCATTTTTCAGTGTTGGAATCCCCTATGTCTCAGAGGAGGGTGTGAGAGCCCATCATGGGTAGTGTGAGCGCCTGCCAGAGCTGGGGACTCACAGCTGGACAACAGGAATGAAGAGTCAGGAAAGGAAACAGCAGAAAAGAAGGTACATGGGGAAATGG